TTTTCTGGGAGTTGAAGAACAAAACACCTAGGGACCCACAGGTTGAGAAGCACATCGTGCAGGGTGTTATCACTGTGCTGTGCAGGGTGCTATTGCTATGCTAATACAACCCAAATACTGGTATTTCTCCATGCCTTCAATAATAGTCTCAGGTAAGGATGTTGTGTCTCCTCTGAATGAATGCTTGGAGATAAACAAAAACAAACTGAATCCAGATAAGATGGAGTTGCTTTCTGTCAGGGGTCTTAACTTGGGCTTGGAGGTGTGGCAATCAGTTACACTTCCCCTAAAATACTGTTTTCACAGCTTGGTGGTGCTTCTGGATCAATTGCTCCAAAGAATAGCTCAAATAAATGCCAAATTCAGTGAGTGTTCAAGATCAGCTTCAGCTGTTGTGCCAGTATAACCACCTCCTCAAACTAGAGCAGTGGTTCTCAACCTGGGGTCCCCAGATGTTTTTGGCCTTCAACTCCCAGAAATCCTAACAGCTGGTAAAACTGGCTGGGATTTCTGGGAGTTGTAGGCCAAAAACATCTGGGGACCCCAGGTTGAGAACCACTGAACTGGAGGATCTCAAGATCATAGTGTACTGCTAGCAACCTCAAGGTTAGATTTCTGCAATATGGGAAGTGCATTTCTGAACTTTCTTGATCCAAACTTCAACACTTTTCAACACAATTATTATCTTTAGATGCCCATTGAGTATTGGCTACATGCTATCTTGTGACAATTTAATTTCTCTTGTGGAACATGGCATTTTCACAAGATTCAAACATATGCTTTGTAGCTAGGATAATGTAGATTCATTTGGTCCTGCCACGTAGATGAACATGTATTTCAGTTAGTATAGATTTATTCAATCGGTGTGAAGAACAGAGGTGTTACTGTCTGTGGCACCTGTGATAGTGAATTGATACTACTATAACCCATTCTTATTTCACCATTCATTTATGTGTTATCACCCTTTTGAAAAATCAGTTGACTTCTTGGGACTCTTTGTGCCTTCCAGCACTGATAGTTTGGGTTCAAAAAGGGAAATGAAAGGATGGCCCATTGACTGTGGATCATATATGGTGCTATTGTCTTTTAGTCTACTGTGCAAATGCCGTGGTATTGGGCAGGCAGAGATCAGCCTACTAGATGAGTCCTTGGGCTGTGCTGGAACAGATGGGCACAGGCCTTCTGTGTGCTTATTAAAGGATTTTGTATCATTGCACAACTAATGACTTCCTATCTGGGGGGCAGAGGTGTCAAAGTTTCCTATTAGTTTGCTCTAAGGAGAAAACCTCCCTAGTATGATAAAAAGAAAAGCAACAGGTAATGCCCACTCTTCTCTTGCTCGATCAGGTTGATACCTAAGATTCTCTGCTTAATTGTAATGTGTGACACTCATTGGAAGAGGTATTGTGCATGCTGTCACTCCAGTGTTTTGCTTCTGCACATGTGTTGAGAAGGGAATCATGTTGCCTTTAATTAAGAAACAGCTTTTGCCATCTTCAAATTCTCTTGATGACTTGACTTTTGTGGATTTGATTAAAATGTTCTCTGTAAGAATCTCTAAGTCTTCTAATGTGACTCTTTGTACAACTTTTATTAGACATTGTCCATAGATTCATGCCGTATGACCTAGAGATTCCTAGAGATAACACTTCTCTAGGATTTCACCTGATGTTGACCAGAGAATTGTACTGGAAGACCTAAAGATTCTAGAGAGATAGTCTCACAGGAAAAAATATATTTCCAACCACCTTTGTGGTTTTTCTACTTTTGTGGGGGACAGTCACTAACCATAAATGTTTTTTTATGGTGTTGCTAGTAGGCCTGTTTGATCAAGAAAAAATTTGTTTCTAAAATCGATTTGTAATTGGGGTGTTTTTTTGTTTCGATATTTAAAATAATTACAAAACTTTCCCAAAAAAAGGTTTTGGTATTTACGAAATTTCGTAAATATTTACAAAACATTTTGTAAAGATGGCGGACCCCCGCGCATGCGTAAAAAACACTTCCGAAGCTTCGTTATTTCTGAGGATGCCTGCCATACATGCAGGCAAAACGTCAGGAGAGAATGCTTCCTTCCTTCCCCTTCCCCCTTTCTCTCCCCTTCCCCCTTTCTCTCCCCTTCCCCTTCCTTCTCCTTCCCCCTCCCTCCTTCCCTCCCTTCCTTCTTCCTTCCTTTCCTTCTTCCTTCCTTCCTTCCTTCCTTCCCTTGCCCCAGATGCCGGCCCGGGGAAGCCAGCGTTGCCTGGCCACGCCCACCCGGCGCCGCCTCCGCTTGTTCTCCTGGCACAGCTGGGAGGGGAACAGGAGGTGCTTCATGGCCGCAGATCTTCTTCTGCTGTGCTCTCTTGTTCTCCGTGGCCACGAGACGCCACCTGCTTCCCTCCCAGCCGTGCCAGGAGAACAAGCGGAGGCAGCGCCTGGCCCGGTGTACCACGGAGAGAAAGAAGAAGGAAGGAAAGGAAGGGAGGGAAGGAGGGAGGGGAAAGGAGAAGAAAGGGAAGGAAGGAAAGGGAAGAGAAAGGGGCCAGGGGAAGGAAAGAAGGAAAGAAGGGGAAGCCTGGTCCGGCAAAGTTTGGTCCAGATCCAACATTGTTTGAGTCCACAGTGATCTCTGGATGTAGGTAAACTACAACTCCAAAACCAAAGGACACTGCCCACCAAACCCTTCCAGTATTTTCTGTTAGTCAGGGGAGAACTGTGTGCCAAGTTTGGTTCAATTCCATCGTTGGTGGGGTTCAGAATGCTCTTTGATTATAGGTGAACTATAAATCCCAGTAACTACAACTCCCAAATGTCAATGTCTATTTCCTCTCCTCCCTGCCTTCCATGAGGATGTGTGTGTGAATGGCGAGAAAAGCAAGAACCCTGGAGTCCACACGCCTCACTTTACAAAGAATACAACCACAACTGTTGCTAATCAGTGGTGCAACGGGATAAACACTTGTGCCGATAGAACGGCTGACTGAGAGGTCAGCGGTTCGAATCCGAGGAGAGTGGGGTGAGCTCCCCCTGTCAGCTCCAGCTCCCCATGCAAGGATATGAGAAAAGCCTCCCACAAGGATGATAAAACATCAAACATCTGGACTTCCCCTGGGCAACGTCCTTGCAGACGGTTCTCTCATACCAAAAGCGACTTGCAGTTTCTCAAGTCATCCTGACACGATAAAGAAGCACTCCCTGTCAGGCACAGGCATGTCTTGGAGCTCTTAATGAGACAATGGGTTAAACCCTTGTGACTGACAGGTCAGCAGTTCGAATCCAGGGAGAATGGGTTGAGCTCCCTCTGTCAGCTCCAGCTCCCCATGTGGGGACATGAGAGCTCCCGCAAGGATGGTAAAGCATCAAAACATCCTGGCGTCCCCTGGGCAACATCCTTGCAGACGGCCAATTCTCTCACATCAGAAGCGACTTGCAATTTCTCAAGTCGCTCCTGACACGAAGAAAACTGTTGCTGATCCAAAGGGGAGGCTGCAAGTGGGGGCTCTTGGCGAGCAAGCAACGCCGTCTCCAGGCGGATTGCTTCCAATATGGGTTTCAAAGGAAAGGAGAGAAAAAGGAAAAGAAGGATTTCGTCTCCTTCCTTGCAATGTTTTTGTCAGCCCGGTTTGAAAGGCTCTCCCTTCCCCTTGCACCCGCCCTTGCCGTTCCCTCTTCCCTGCTTTGCATTTTGGTCAATAAACAGCAACTTCAAGGGATGTATTTGGCGGGAGGGAGGAGGAGGAGGAGGAGGAGAGGATAGCTACTTTCCCCCAAACTCCACCAGTGCCCTAAGGGCGAGCGCGCGCGGGCCGGCCAATCGGGAGCCGCGCTCGCGCCCAACAGGCAGGGGCGGGGCTTGGCTCACTGGGTGCGCGCTCGCGCCGCCCCCTCGCCCCGCCCGCCCCATTTACGAAACGGGCGAAAGCTCGTAAAAACTGTGGGGGTTGCCGTTTCGATATTTAAAAACCCTTCCGGGTTTGAAAATATGTTTTGTTATCGTTTCATATATGCAAAAATTAACGAATGTTTAACGAATTAACGAATTAACGAACGAAACCGCACAGGCCTACTAGATAGCCATCATTTTTGTTGTTGTTGTTCATCTTGTGTTGCCTGCGGGCTGAGAAGGGCGGTATATAAATACAGTAAATAAATAAATAAATAAGGAAGGCTATCAGTCCTACTTTTGAAGGCCTCATATGACACTTTAAACCAAAGCAATTCTGTATGTTATTTCAGGCCTTCCTCTTATTTTTTTGTCATATGCTTCTCATTCAATTTAAACAATCTGACTAGTTTTAAACAAGTATGTCCCCTCCACTTTGAGTAGACTCAAGACAATGTGATTACTTGTATTACTTCTTACATAAATAGTAAAAGAATTTATTTTATGATGCAATACAGGAAAAATGTTGCCTCTCTTTACAAACATACAGACTGGTTTTACAATAATAAATTTCCAGTTTAAAAAATATACTTTCTTTTTCAACATGTTAAGTCAGTCTCCTTGACACACAAAACATAAGGCAGTAATAAAAATATGCACCATATCAGCTTTTGAAAGTGAAAATCCCCTTTGGGGGATTCATTTCATCCTATACAACATGATTGTCATTTGGCACCCATGGTACAGATAGCCTTCTCTTACATTAGTGGCATGCTGGTTGATAGGCCCTTTAATATTCCTCTATATTTCTTCTACAGTTCCATGCGACTGCTGCTGGTCATGAAAGAGTGTGGCATGGATCTGCCAAAGTGCTCTGTCTTTCTAGAGTATTTTTTATAGCTGCCCATCTCTGTAGTGTCTTATAATCTGGCCTTAAAGATTGAGGGTAGAAAAGAGATTGACTTGCGAATGTAGTTGACATCATCCTGAATAGCATTCCAGCACCTGTAATCCCATCTTTAAAGTATGGAAAAAACTTTAAAGGCATTGGTGTGGAAGCACAAACAGATAGGATGGTATTTTCAGGTCTTTTGGCAACAATTGATGCTCTTCTAGGATGCTCTTCTAGGATTTCATTGTCCAACCAGCCTTTTGTAAAATTTTCTTCTCCCTTTATCAGAGCCAAAGTTTTACCATCAGTTTGTCCTATCTGTTTCATACATTTGTGAAAGTTTTAAAAGCAACTATTGCCTGGGAATTCTGTGATTATGCTTGTTGTTGCATTTATGTGCATCACTAACATTTGAACTAGCTAGAAACCTCACTTCCCAATCTTTGCTAAAGGAGAATGTGCAAATGTATTACTTGAAGCAAATCAGGAACATGGTCCAGGATTGATTGTGGGTGACTGAAGCTTTCTGCAAGCAGGCCCTGATACCTAGTAATTCCAGTGTAAAAACTAACATTTTTTTTTGTGTATGTGTGATGTTGATGCTAGCTTTGTCTTGCATCTGTCACAGGAAGTCATTTTGTAGAGTATCAGCAGTACTTAAAATTAAGTCGTCAGGCAGTTCTTATGTTTTCCCCACATTTTGAATAGCAGCATTGAGAACTCTTGTGGTGATATGTGATTTTCCATCTTTGCTATCTTGATGTGATGATGGCTTGAGTTGTCCAGTAGATAACTTCACAGGTACCGCAGTTGGTTTAGGGGTCCGAGTAGGAATTGCTTGGCGGAAAACATCAGCAATCTGGGATAAATTAAAATAAAAGGAGGGCCAGAAAGGGTTAAGCATGACAGTTTGCAGATACTGTGATAAACTTAACATGTAAATTGTTCTAGAACAGAACTTTAAATATTTCCAGTATGTTTACATTGTAAGAACAAAAACCAATATCCACTGGTGTCATGTTGCTAATGTGAAACCTGAAACCCATGCAGATGGAGGGAATTCTTGACATGTTTTTCTTGAAAATAGTGTGTATTTGTCTTTTTTGTCTAACAAATAGTTGATCCGTCCTGTATTAGGATTTTTTTAAATGGAATAACAATGGGAATTATGTGTGCACTTGAGACTCATTTCATTTGACCAGGACTTTGAAGACTAGCTGACTCTGTATAGGAAATGTGTGCATGGATATGTCAATGTGCTTTGGCAGACAAACACATTAAAAGTCTTCTAATGAAGCTGTGTGTGCTATATATTCTTAGTATTTTTCAATGTTTTAAAATGATTTTACATCATTTTAAAGTAGTTTATCTTTTCTTCATTGGGGGTTGTTATTTTTTTAGATGTATCATGTTTTGATTTGGTGTGTGAACTGTCTTGCGTCACATGCTGGGAGAAAGCAAAAAAATAAAAATAAAAATATCAATACAGCCAGCTCTCTATATTTGCTGGGATACATTTTGCACAAGATCCCTGCAAAAGTGAAGAACTGTGGAGAAAGAAATCACTATTTTTTAAAAACTGAGAGAACACTTCTCTAGGAATTTCTAGGTCTTTCAGCATGAGTGTAGTTGATGTCCGCTGGAATTTGACCATAGAATCACAGTGGAGGACCTAGCGATTCCTAGAGAGGTGTTCTCTCCAGAAATCTCTGGGTCCTCCAGCATGACCTAAGGAAGTTAACAATAGAGTTACACTGAGGGAACTAGCCATTTCTAGAGGGAACATTTTAATCAAATGTGTGAATAATCAAACATCAAAACTGCAGATGTGGAGTGATGGCTATTGAGACCTATCTTGCTTAGTAGCTCAGTTGGTCTTCTTATGCATACACAAGCTACTGTTATGCAACATAACTAGAGCACTGTTTTAGTTAACTAGTGCATGAATGGTATGTTGGTTTTATACCAGAAACTTTAAAAAATGAATTAGTGCTTGAAAGTTTGGACAGATTTTGTCTACTTTTTGTCTCTAGATGGCACCAGAGTTCACTGGTTTGTAAATTTTAACTTCGTCAAACTCTTGAAAAATCAATAAGAATGAATCACTTTGAATCTGTAGGAATTCAGTTGAATAGGAATGAGTATAGCTGTCAGATGTTGGAAGATACAGAACATTATGGAGTCTTTGCTCTGCAAACACAACAGAGCAATACAGCCTTAGTGTTACCAACTAGCTTACTTTTCTCTCCAGGTTGTAGGACTGTTCGACCACAATGGTTATAGCTTTGCTAGACCTCTGTGAATTTATTTTATATTACATACCACTATATGGAAAGGTCAAACCCTGTGGTATAATTTTGTATTCCTATATTTGATTCACATATGCTTCCTAATTGAAAATGTAGCCGTGAGACATAATTTTTCATTAAGACAATGGATTGTTCTTCCTAGTTTTTTAAAAAATGTATGTGGGGTCCTGAACTGATTGGATTTGACCAGTAGAGGGTGGAATTGGTTAATTTCTTAAGTGGCATCCCGTGTGTAAAAGTGTTGAATACTGATGTGGAGATCCTGAGGTCAAGTCTGTATAATACGTGGGGCCAGCTGAAATAAATGTACCGGACTATTTATCTATTTTTATAATGTTTTATGTTATTGAGTGGACTGCCCAGTTTACTTAGGAACTAAGTAAAATGGCTCTTAATGTCTTCCTTTCTTTGCTTCCCAATACTCATAATACATCTTGGCTAATATTCCAGTGTATCCCAAATAGAAATCAATTCTCGTCTTTAGTATGTGACCATTTCTCCTCTTCGTTTGCTTACATGGCTTTTGTAGATTGTTAAAATAAGAAAGGTAAAGCAAATTTTTGAATGATTTTAGTGTTCATCTTTCTATAAGGGAAGACTTTAGTTCATTAGCAGACCACAGGTTTTGCATGCAGAAGGATTTATGTACAGTCCCCGGCATCTGTAAGGTCTTATCAGATTGGGTAACAGCTGATCTGAAAAATGTCTATCTCAGACCTGGAAGGGGTGCTGCCAATCAAAGATATTTCATCCTGAAATATATCTTACAAACACTTTTTTCCTTTCTCTAACAGTAAGTTTCAAATAATACTAAATAAAATATTTAATAATTTACTGCTTTTGTATTACACCTAAAATATGCTGCCTGAGAGAGCTACATGACTCTGCTTCATAATAATGAACTAGATGGAATTATTGTTTGTCTTGATTTTAAAAAATAAAAAGTCATTTCCTTTCTGTGCATATGTCTTTGCAAAATGCATTTTTCATCAATGTGTTGCAGAAAGGTATTATCTTTTTCAAGTGGCATTTTAATCTGTGCAAGCCTCACCAAAAATAGGCTTATAGATATGTCTATAATTTTCACTAGATCCACTGTGTCCACTGCAGATGCTTGTAGACCACTGAAAGACTGTCCTTAGGAAACTGTTTTAGAGGACCGGAGTAGATTGGAAAATGTGTGAAAAGAGATGTATGTATTTCTACATATGAATATAATTGCTTTTTACCAAACACAATCTGTAGAACTGCATAGACTCATATTGGAGCTCTAGCTATGATTAATTTTAGATGGATTGATGTCAGGTTAGGATTTTGCACGTTAATTCTGACCTTATTGTCTAAAGCACATCTTCTTAAACTGTAGGAACCCAAATGTTTAGCCCAATGTTGGGACCCTGAAAAATTTCGCAACAGTAAAAGTTTTCTGAACTATTTTAGACATTTACACAAATTTGTTGTGCAGTGGACTCTGCAGAGGATGCTTTAGCTGTACTTCAGAAAAAAGCAAAATCAGCTTGTTCCAGGTTTTGTAAATGCTAATTTGTCATCAATAAATATTTTATTTTTTTTACCTGTTATATATACTTATATATATAAGTATATATGAAAAACTTTCCTGGTCCAAAAGAGGTCCCGAGTGGAAAAGTTTAAGAAGCCCTGTTTCTTAAACAGGAAAAGTGGAAAAGTTCAAGAAGTACTCCTTCATTTTGTTGATTCTTATTTTTCATTCTTAAAATGTGAATGGAAATGTCAGTCAGTCAGTCTGTCTATCTGTCTATCTTTTTGTGTTAAATGGAATATTTTGAAGTAGGACAGGGATTATACTGAAGCCCTTGGAGTGAATTTTGCTGTGTATGTTTGTTTGGTATATGTGTGAGCTCTCCAATCCTGTACTTGTGCCTTGGGTGGGAATCCTTGCTGTAGTTTTTCTGCCACTGTAATGACAGCTTATTTCAGTGAAAATGTTTATAAAGAGGCAATGAAATAGATTGGAAAGCAAATTTATAGAGATAGTTCTGTAAAATACAGTAAGAAAGATATCTGAATCTGGGAAACAGGTAATCAATTTATATAATTGTAATGCTATAAATAAAAGATTAAGAGGAGTAGGTTCATGTTAAATCATGTTAAATAAGGTAGTTTCCCTTGACATTAATTCTAGTTGCGCCCGACTATAGGGGGTGGTGCTCTTCTCCATTTCTAAACCAAAGAGCTGGCGTTGTCCGTAGATGCCGCCTCGGTCATGTGGCTGGCACGACTGCATGGAGTGCCTTTACCTTCCCGCCAAAGTGATACCTATTGATCTACTCACATTTGCATGTTTTTGAACTGCTAGGTTGGCAGAAGCTGGGGCTAACAGTGGTAGCTCACCCCACTCCCCAGATTCGAACTGCCGACCTTTCAGTCAGCAAGTTCAGCAGTTCAGCAGTTTAACTCACTGCGCCACCAGGGGCTCCTAAAACATGTTATGCCATTTAAATTACCTATCATATTTGAGCTCACATTTTGTTTGTTTGTTATTTCCAACTGCAGCAGGAACCATTCAATTAATTAACAAATGGTGAGTCATCATATAGATACTGTACATTCTGTTGATTCAAGAGGTCAGCTGTAGTCAGGAGTAACAACAGGATCTAGGTCTTGGCCTGATCGAGAATATGCTGTGATCCTTTCTATCAATGGTTTGTGGGTCCCCAGATGTTTTGGTCTTCAACTTTCAGAAATCCTAACAGTTGGTAAACTGGCTGGGATTTCTGGGAGTTGTAGGCCAAAACACCTGGGGATCCACAGATTGAGAACCACTGCTTTTTATGAACACAGTTGAGTGCTTATCTACACTACCATATTACACAGTTTGAATCTGTATTATATGGTCAGTATGGAATCATATCTGCAGTTCAATGCAGTTAAACTGCATTAAATGAATTTAAAGTGACTATATAATGCAGTTTCTAGAATACATTCAGAAACCCTCAAGAAAATAATGGCTAAATGCTTTTAGGGGGAAAAAAGCTTGTTCATGTTACTTTGTATGATGTAACCGATGATTCAAGGATTTCTGAATTCTGTATTATAGGATGTTTAATTTAGTGTGGGTTTGGGATAAATTGCTTAAATTCACAGGATGTGGTTACCATTTGAAGCATTTAAAAGAAACACTGTATTTAAGTTAAAAGTAGAGGAACCATAAGGGCAATTGATGTAATTTCTTGCCCGCCCTTTTCCCGTCTTACAATGATGGCTTTTAAAAACATGATTTTTGGCATAGAATTGCACTTTTGAAAAGATGTGGATGTAATTTTTTGTCAATTCGAAAGCAATGTGAACTGTTCACCATTCAATATACTTTTGTTTATAGCAGTGGTGAAGGAGATTTGGTTCTCATCTTTTTAAATGAAATGCCTGGAGTTTACCAGAGAAGCCAATAGAATTAGATGTCCAGACTTTCACATTCTGGAAAATGACATTGTCTTGTCTAATCTGTGTCTATATTTACTAAGATGATAGATAGATAGATGATAGATAGATAGAGCGAGCTTCAGTTGAATTACTAATGATCCCTACTGAAGTGATTATTGAATTTTCACCCAGGCATTCCTTGATTAATAAAGCCTGTGACAAGGAGGCTACTTTTTGCAAGAGCCTTTTACAGGAGTCCTGTCTAGCCTTCCCTTTCTGTCTAGCTGAAAGGATTGGGTTTTTTGTTTTGCTTTTTGGCAGCATTGTCATTGGGAGGAGTGTTGGAGAAAGGATTGTTGGAGAAGGAGTGTTGGAGAAAGAATGGGTTTCCATAAAGCTCAATGTTGGAAAGAATGGGTTTCAGTTCAAGGTGATCCTACAATAGATTGATATATTTATGTGTAATAGGCAAGGAAAATCGCGGCCTCCAGAATCCCTTGCTGAGCATGTATAGCAGGGGTCCTCAAACTAAGGCCTGGGGGCCGGATACTGCCCTCCAAGGTCATTTATCCAGCCGTCGCTCAGGGTCAAACTAAGTCTGAAATGACTTGAAAGCACACAACAACAACAACATCTCATCAGCCAAAAGCAGACCCACAGTTCTCATTGAAATACTAATAAGTTTATATTTGTTAAAATTCATTTTAATTATTGTATTGTTTTAAAGTGGGGGTTTTTGCACTACAAATAAGATATGTGCAATGTGCATAGGAATTCATTCATGCTTTTTTCAAATGATAATCCGGCCTTCCAACAGTTTGAGAGACTGTGACCTTGGCCCTCTGTTTAAAAAGTTTGAGGACCCCTGATGTATAGAAAGCAAAACGGAGAGAAAAGAGGAAAGCAGATTTGCCACCAAGTCCCTGACATGTTGGAAAAGTATCTATCTATAGGTTTCACTAGCAAAATGGAAATCATAAGAAAAAGGGAGAGGGGTGAAAGAAAACATCACGATGGAATGCATTTTGGAAGATACTTTGAAGTGGTATCGTTTATGTATGCAAGGCTTATCTGACCTGTTTGCTTAATTTCTCATGAGTGCGTGCATAATGTTAGTTTTCAATTAAAACCAGTACATTCATCTGTAAAAGTCTATTTTGCTCTCTTGACAGGATAATTGAGATGTGGATTCAATCATGTTGATTTCTATGCAGTAGTTTGAAAGAACTGCTACCAAGGGAATTTACGGATAGTTATATCAGTATACAGCACAATTTCTAGTTATATCTGTGTATAGCATAACTCACTTTAATATGCATTATCTGTGAGTGCAAATGCAGATGCAGTTGAGAATGCATCCACAAAATTGCCCGAGTAAACTGGTCCCTTTAGAATAGAATAGACTTCAGGTCCAACGATAGTAAGCCTTGGTTGGTAATCGAAAGAACTAGAAGTAAAAGAAGGGTGAAAACGAAGCTTACTAAATTCAAAGGGAGAATAGCCAAAAATACGATGAAAGGAAAATAAGAATACTTAAAATGATGATTCAAGAATGGAGTGATTTTCCTGCTGCATAGTCAGCCTATCAGTGGAAATAAACAGCAATAAACAGCTGGAAGAATTGTGGTTTTTAAAGATAGCATAAAAATATTTAGCTGTGAGCTCTGAGAAAATACTACAATACGAACTTATTGAAATGCTTAGGTTCTAGGCATCAGGATTAATCTAATTCAACAAATTACTTGAAAAGCTATTCTCCAGGACAAGTAATGGGAGGCATTATTGATAGATTAGATGCACAACTGCTCTTTTACCCAGAAGGATTTAACTGTAGGAAGAACATATGTCAGATATGTGTGATTACTTTGGTCTGAATCCTATTAGTTAGACCCAATTAGACTCATTGAATCTAATATCAAATGATGTGTCAGTATGTAAGTAAATTCCGTTGATTTATTGGGTCTATTCTGATCAGCTGAAGTTTTATTTTTAGTTTTAAAATGCTAAAAACATTTCACATCTGTACCTTGAAACAATCTTTAAAGTTTAGTCAGTGCATTAGATGTGCCTTGGGGAATGTGAGGTCTGCCAGAAGTTTGGTCAGTGACTTGACCCAGCATAGCCCAAGGTTCGTGGAAATTGCAGTCCAAAACATATGGCGAACTGAAAATTCCTCAGTTCTTGCCTTCGAGATTGTGTGTTGCCTTGCATTACTCAAAGAGTTCATTGCTGGTTCAGATTTCACTTCAACTGCTGTCTGGCTCACAGCTCATCATTATAGGGTTGTGTTTTTTTTGTAATTTTGTGCATCATTATTTTGTAAAACAGTACATGCATATTTGGAAATATTTGATCTGTAAGTATTTCTCTTTACAGTCACATGAATATCAAAGAACTAGGCAAGGTAGCAAACAATTAACAGACTTAAGCTGGAATTAAACAGTTTTACATGCAAGAAAATTGCACACAGGGGAAGACAAAACAATGAATTCTGTAAGTGATAGTTACAAAATATTTACTGTCATGTGATGTGAAAATATTTCATGGAAACAGTTGGAGTCAAACATAATAACAGCTACTGAAAATGTAAATACATAAAAGATGCATCGATACAGGTTCAATTCTAGGCATTTTACAAAAAGTTATTTAAATGAACAAATAATACAGTAAGTGCACACATGGTATGATTAAAGGGTGAAGTCCTCATGTTAGTTCCATATGCTGTTGTAGGTCACATGCACAAAACTCAAAAAATTCTGGTTAGAATGTCCGAAATCATTCTTGGCTGGATGGAAAACGGTAAGCTTGCATTGACTGTAAGTATGGCAGCACAACAGGAAAAGTCAGTTATATACATTACTTACTGTAATTTGTGCCTGTCTTGGGAGAGGAGAGGCTGTTGGAGTAATAGTGATACTGCTGGTGATTTTGTTGATCTGTTTGCCCGGTGTTCCATTAGTTAATGCTGGAGTTCTGTTATCCTGCATTGGAGTGCAAGGATGAGCTGTTTTTGCGGGATTAGGAATAGTTTGAACATAAGGGTTCCCCAAATGAATATGTATTTTATTATCCTCGGTAGTTATCACATTAGATCCAGAACTGTTAGACCTTTGAAACTGCCAGGATGACTGACGTTCAGGGGATACTCGGAAGATAGTATGCCTGTCACCAATTTCCAGGGGCTCTGGTGAAATTAACTGTTCTGGGGAACTTGAGGAGGTTGAAAGAGCCAAAGGAGACATTGTTCTTTCAGGAGTTACAGATCTACATGACTCAGGAGTTTGAGATCGAGGTGAGATGGCTTGCTCTGGTCTTGAGTGAGTATCAGCTACTTTAGATTTTATAGGTGTTAAAGACCCATTTTGAATTATGGTTATCCTTTGCTTCGGTGTGCCACAGTGGGGTATCACAGCTGTACTGGTAAAAGAATGACAACTTTCTGTAGTAGGGCTTGTTATTTCAAGGGTAGCTGTGTTTTGTCCATGATCTGGAGTAACTTTTATGTGTAGAGGCTGGCCTGGCATGTGGCTTAGAACTAAATTCCCAGGCTGAATGCAGTTTCCATTCTGCTTGGCACGAACTTTCCCATTTTGAATATGGCTTTCCTTGGATTTCATCCAGGGTATCCAAAGTTTGCTGTTGTTTACTGCATTTGGAACAGAGGAATTACATTTGAAAGACACTGGTTGCTCATCATCATTGTCATCATCTTCATTATCACTTTCTTCATATAAGTGTCCATTGATGACTGCTCGTTCCAAAGGAACTAGACTTTTGTAATCAGGTGGTTCATTGTCTGATGGTTCTGTTTGGACTTCTTTGGAGACAACTTGCAAGTCAGAAATTCTCCTTCCATTGAGACTTGGTCTAAGGCTTTTACTGAATCTCCTGTACCTCTCTAGTTCTTTAGACAGGATTTCCATTTCTCTTCCTAATTCTTTGTTTTTGTTTTCTTGGTGAGTGAGTTTCTTTTGCAGAATTGTGTGGTCTTCTCTCAAATGACAGATAATATCCTCTGTTGCCATGTATTCATGAATTTTTTCCTTCAGCGCATCTACTTCCCTTGAAAGATGTCCTGACTTGGCTGCTTCTTCCTTGAATTTTTGGAATAATCTCTGTTCATGGTTACATTCTGTTTTCTCTGCTAGTTTATACCGGGCCAGTTCTCTTTTCGCAACCTCAAGTTCCTCTGACAGAAATCTGGCTTTGTCTTGTTCATTAATGTATCTTCGTTCTAAAGATTCAAACTCGTCTTCTGTTTTCATGAGGTCATCTTCTATGGCCTTCATTTGTTTAAGTTTGTGTTTGAGCCTCTCAATTTCCTGAGCTAGTTCTTTAATTTTGTTGTTTTCTTGCTGTAAAGGTGGACTAGGCTTGGCTGTCTCTTTCAGTTTATTTTTGAGAAAGTCTTTTTCGATGGCTTCTAGGGATTGCAGCTTTTTCCTTAGCAGATTCATCTTGGAAGAGAGATCATTCCCTTTATCTTCCTCTGCTTTTAGTTTGTTTTTTAGCTCATCTCTTTCTTTTGTGAGACTGGACATTTTTTCCTCTGCCTCAGTCTTCGATTTCAGTGCCTTTTTACTCTCCTCGATCAGTTTTTCTGTGACTGACATTACTTTTTTTTGCTCCAGGTGAAGTTGCGTATTTGCAGTATTTAGCTTTTCTTCTGTTTGTTTTATTTTTTCATTCATTGTTTTTCTTTCATCTACGAGAATTACTGTTAATGTTTTCAATTTACTCAAGTCTTCTTTAAGAGTGAGTTCTGTTTTTTCCAATTTACTCTCAATGGTTTCAAGCTCTCCCATACGAGCTTTTAAGCCATTTAGTTCCTGTGACAACTGCTTGGTTAGCAATTTTTCCTTTTCTAGGTTACATTTCAGAGTATAACATTCCTGCTTACTCTTGCTGAAAGCATCCTCTAGTTTCTCAAGTTCCATAATTCTCTTGTTCAGCTTGTCAACTTCTACTTTAAAGTTTTTACTCTGTGAGGCTTCCTTTTCTAGCTTCCTGTGGAGTTCCCTGCATTGCTCTTCCATTTTTATGAGCTCTTCGTCTTTCCCCTCCATTTCTAGTACCCTTTTTCTTAGCTCCTCTACTTCAGACAGAAGAGTAGAATTTCCACATTCGCCTCTGTTTATTTTTTCTCGCAGGTCTTGCAGTTCTTCTTCAGCCTTTCGTAAAGACTTATTAGTCTCTTCAAGTTCATCAATTTGTCGACTAAGAGCTGTTAATTTTAAGCGTAGCTGGCGGTTTTGGCTTTCTTCATTGGTTAATTTGGCCATAGTAGCCTCTTGTTCTTGGGAAGCCTTATTGGCTTGGGCTTGAAGCTCAGCTTCCAGCCGGAGAGCTTTCTCCTCTTCTTCTTGTGCTTTTGTTTCTGCAAGTGATAGTTTCTCATGTGCTTGTTCTGCACTGGTGGTTAAGTCTTGGATTTTTTGACTTTGGAGGTTTAGCTGTTCTGTAAGCTTTTCTTGTTCATCCACTACCATTAATGTGAATGACTTGAGTTTTGTCAGCTCCTCCTTCAATTTGCTTATTTTCCTGGTGTTTTCCTTCTCTTTCTTTGCCTGATATGCTGTGTCTTGTTCAATAAGCTTTTTCAACCTGAAAAAAGAGGAAATAGTAACATTTCATTTTGTGGCAGTGTTTCAGACACTTAGAAAAAATAATGATGTTATGTAGGCCAGGAGTTCTGAATTGCTGCAAAAAAATCCTTTCTTTTAGAAAATACTTTTCACAAATGTATGTCTCCTCCAGCTTTTAGGCTCTTCCATCAGTTGTTATTTTAACTGATGTAAAGAAGCAAATTCCCTCCCTCCCTCCCTCCTCCCCCCTCCCTCCCCCCCCTCCTTTTTGGACTTTGCTCTGGACACTTAACATGAATTATATATTGCCCTGGGAAAGAGGTGGAAGGTGGATTGCATCATGTAATTTTATGTTGTTTTCTGCCCTGTAATTACTCTTTCCATGAACATATTTGTGGTTCTGACATACTAAAATGTAAACTTGCTGTCTTGCATCTTTTTATGTTTGTGAAAGAACAATATCTTTCCTTGTTTACAGAAATCTTACGAGCCAGTATGGTTAAAAATAATAAAACAATAGGGAGCTTTGACAGGCCAACCCCCCAGCTTGTCTAAAGTAGCATTAAAGAAACAACTCTTTGAAGGATGTGTAGCATTGTGCCTAGTAACTTAAATCCTTACTGCCGGATATGTGAAGTAGCCATGGGCTAGAGATATTAAATGTTGAAGCCATAGAGCGAAACTGATGGTTAGATTCCCCTGCCACTTATTTGCATATTAAGTCCAAATATAATGCACAATATGAAATGCCTCACTTAGGATGTAGATAGGACCATATTGCATAGCTATGAAAATTTGAAAAGTCTTTATTTTATACAACCAACATTGTTAAAATAATGATATTGAAGAGAGCACAGTAAAAAGTTGCAACCTGTGCTGTATCATCACATAGCTGGTGTTATCTGAAAAGTGGGACTTCAACAGCTTGAATAATGGACTATGGATTTTGGAAAATGATTTGGACATGAGATCATGACTTAGCGTTTTATATGTGGTTTTTAATCTTTTTTGATAGATCATTATGAGTTTTAATCGCTTATATGTATAGATTGTTTGTATTTTTATGAGATGTGTTATTGTTTACCTGTGTGGCATTAAATTTTTGCTGGATTTGTAAGCCGCCTTGAGTCCCTTCTTGGGTCAAGAAAGGCAGGGTAGAAATGAAGTAAATAATAAATAAAATGAAAACAGAAAAACACAAATTTTGTGACAAACAACAAATGTATTCTTTAGTCAAGAACCTTTACAATTTAAGGATTTGGCCAGCACCATATCTGGACATAAAGTTAAACTAAGTATTAAAATATTGAACTCCTCAATAATGTATTTATCACAAGCAATGAAGCTCCCCACTACATTCATCATGAAGAAAGAGACACTCATTAAGACCTGTTGATTAAGTTCAAATTTTTCCCCATAATGCAAACATCAGAGATGTTGGTGGGTGAGGGGTTGTCCCTTCCTCCCTTCCCAGGAGTTTTCAAGGTTGCCACATCTCTCCTTTGTATTTGTCCCCTAACATTTGTGAATGTATGAGTAGAACTGTGGACCCATCATTGATATTTGGAATTGGTGAGAGAGCACAGATACCAATTTTTTCTGTACCTCTCAGTCTCCCTCGACTGTGGAATGCCCTGCCTAGGGATATAAGATCGGCCCTCTCCCTCCTGACTTTTCGAAGAAAGGTGAAAACCTGGCTTTTTGAGCAGGCCTTCCCAAATACGACATAGTTATATGAAATCATGGAACCACTTGACAATGCAATTGAATTATGATTTGACATGGAGATGCTCACGATAATGTTTTAAGGCTTTGTATGGTTTTTTATATTCTTATATTGTATGCTAATATTTTTAACAGTATTTTATTATTGTTTTACTTGTTATAATTGTTGAGGCATCAAATTGTTGCCAATTGTGAACCGCTCCAAGTCGCCTCCGGGCTGAGAGGGGCGGTATATAAATGTGGTAAATAAATAAATGTGGTAAATAAATATAGTATAGTTATTGTTCTTGCCTGGCTTCTCCTCCTTTCACAGAATGTAAAATCCCCTCCTGAATACATGAATGGGGATATAATTGGGAAATAAATGGATAAGATGTAAAAAAATTCAAAACATTTTATGTATTAATTTAACCAATTTTAAAGAATCATTTCCAGTTTCTGTCTCAACCTCTATTATAAAGGTCATTTCTGGGCACAAACAGATGATAGCCCTCCCTTCATCACAGATGCTACTGCCCTGACCTTAGAGGAAGAGAAGAAGAGGCAGTTTCTGCTGCCGCCAATGATAAAGATAAAATTCTGGAGGCAGATAAACACAATCTTCTCTATTCACAGTGAAGTGAATAATAAACAGTTGGGTGGTCTTTTCATCTTCCTTAAGATTTTCTTCTTAATGGTATTCCCAAAATTTGCTACCTTGCCCTACCTAATGAATCCAATCCAGAAGACTCTTCTACCTCTTTCACATGTAGGTTTCCTTATGTCTTCCTGGACCAGGTTTGCTGTTGCTGATGCACTCAGGGACATTAGTGATGTGAGAACAACTCTTTCTGGAGTTATTGTTTCACCAACTACTCACTTGTTTGTTTTCATTACATGTTTTATTGGTATTTGTAATCTGCCTTGAAGGCCAGTTAAATATAAAATAGTTACATTGCCTTTCAGGAAGGCTTTAGTTTTGAGATAAAGATGTGATGAAATGGAAAAAGAAAGAAAGACAGGAAAAAGACTCTGCCAGCTGGAGAAGAAATGTAGTGTTAGAGATGGGTGTCCTAGTCTAGTGGAAAAACTACAGTGATAAAGTATTTTTTAATTAATAAGCATCATTTCCTCTTCTTTAGTAAACCTTACAGCCTTTATGCTTCCTTCCTATGAATAGTTGTCACAAACCTAATTTTAGCTATTGCCATAGATACCAAACCATAATAGTTATTCTTCTGTGAAATTCATTCTGTTTTGGGGATTCTATGTCATTTGATTTACAGTAAATCTCAGATTTAGTCACTACATGGAATAGTCATCTTGTGAAATACAACTTTGTCATAGAAGTTCTCTTCTTAAATAATTATTGGCGTGACAAAATTTAAAAACAACAACCCCAACCAGAATTTCAGTCAAGTCTGGCACATGATAGTTCCACCCTAGTTTAATAAACCAAAATATTTGTCTATTAATCTTCCTTTACATTTCTTCAACAGGCTTCAGAATCTTAATTTAACTTGCCTTTTGAACAATTATAACTTTAATTGGATAATGTGACTCATTGTGCAGTTTCAGTGTCTGACATATGAATGTTTCGGCACTGGATAAGTTTAATTAATTATGTTCAGCCTGTATATTTATGATCTTTTACAACATTACTTTCCAAAGCTATGGGACCGTGCCAGCTCGCAAAGAATCTGATCCAAGTGTTTGAAGCACATGCTTACATCATGTTGAAGTCTATTCCCCTGATTCAGCAGGGCTGTCTGTGATGGAAAAAAGTTTCCACAGGCCTTTCTGCATCTTTCTCAAAGCTTACAAGGGGATCTGACGCGATGAATAGACATATCTATCTATCTATCTATCTATCTATCTATCTATCTATCTATCTATCTATCTATCTATCTATCTATGAGGTTTAGAAGGTCTGATTATTTCTAGAGGGATATCCCCTCCCTGCTTTTCTTGGGACCAGCAGCAGGTGCATCTGCACTGTAGATTTAGTGGAGTTTGACACCACTTTAATTGCCATGGTGCAATGCTCTGGAGTCATGGAAGTTGGAGTTTTACATAGTCTTTTGTCTTCTTTGTTGCTTTTGTTTTATGGTTTGATGTGGTTTTAATAGTTTTAATTTCCAGTTATATGTTATTGTTTGATTTTATGTTTTGGTTTTTCACATGTATGTTGTCAAGAAATTTTGCCACGACTATGCTGGAAACCACTTTGAGTCTCCCCAGGAATGAGAAAAGTGATATATAAATACAGTAAATAATAAATAAATAAATACATAAATAAATGAATAAATAAATAAATAGCGTTGGTCCCTCACCAAACTACAGATCCCAGGATTCCATAACATTGGGTCAGACCTCACAACCTCTGAGGATGCCTGCCATCGATGTGGGTAAAACATCAGGAGAGAATGCTTCTGGAACATGGCCATACAGCCCTGAAAAGTCACAGCAACCCAGCTTGCCCAAAACTTCTCTCTCTGTCCTACCACCTTCACAGGCATGATTGGAGGGAACATGGAAAAGGGTCTCTTTTGTGACTTCTCTCAGATTTTGAAACATTCTTCCCTGGGAATTTTTTTGGTCTTTTCAACAAAGTGTAATGGTTTGAATGTTGGACTATGACTTTGGAAACTTGGCATCAATTCCTTGCTTGGCCATAGAAACTCACTAGGCAACCTTGGATAAGTTGCATACTTTCAGCTCTAGAAAACATCCAGAATAGGGTTTCCTTTTGGTCACCATAAACTGGAAATGACTTGCACAACAACATAAATTATTATGGCCTTTTGACTTTTTCTGGAAAAAGTAAGATGACAAAATAATGAGCGACTATCTCCGTGTCTAGGCTGATTGCTCATTTTGAAGAACTAGAAGGCAGCAATTTACTTTGACTAAGCATGCGGCAAAACACTTTGCCATATGAATCTCATGTGGTTCCCCCATTGTCTCCTAGTAAGGGCTCCCACCAGTGGAATAGTGATGGTGCTTTTCTATGTTTTCTAGTTCAATACTACAATAAGTACAATATAGAAGATAGGATAGAGGCAGAGACCTGGAGTTTGTGGATCAGAAAATGAGTGTTTACCTCTGAAATTATTTTAAAGAAATGTGCGGTGGTGCAATGGGTTAAACCATGAGATGGGGTGAGCTCCCATCTGTCAGCTCCAGCCAACCTAGCAGTGCAGAAACTTGCAGATGTGAGTAGATAAATAGATACTGCTTTGGTGGGAAAAGGCAAAAGAGATGCTCCAAGCAGTCTTGCCGGCCATATAATCAGGAGGTGACAATGCAGGCTCC